CCCTTTGCTCAACCTCTTTCATTCCCAAGTTTAAGGCAGAGCAGTTCCTCTTCAGGAGATGGATTTATTGAGGTCCTTAGATGAGGTTAGCACCTCCACCCAGCTTTGAAATAGTCCCAAAGGATGTCATGCTTTCCTTTCAACTTAGATTTTCATTTTAGTTAGTCGATTATTTAAATGAGGATTTGCTAATGCCCTTCTCCTCTTCTGGACCATAATACTGCGATAGTTAACGTCTATCGACCACCTCTCCTGGGCAACACTTTCCTAATTACATTCTATGAATCATCTTGTTGAGCCCACACACATCTCACTCCTCATGTTTCCTAGATGAGAAAAGAGAGGTGCAGGGCATCTACCGAGCACACCAAATCCATCAGCAAAAGGCCAACCAAATTGGAACAAGGAAAATGGTCCTGGTGACCACACTTTGGAAGGGTACACTGCAAGGCTTCCCTAGAAAGTCCCTGGCTGGGCTGGTTGGTGTTTGTCAGTTTGGTCCAAACCAGAGTTACCTGGGAAAAGGGAACCTCAGCTGAGGAACTGCCTTCATCAGATTGTCCTGTGGGCATTGATGTGGGAGGGCCCAGCCCATTGTGGGCAGTGCCATCCCTGGGCAGGTGGTCTGGAGCTGTATAAGAAAGCAGGCTGAGTAAAGCATGGGAAGCAAGATGTGTTCCATCACGGCCTCTGCTTCAGTGCCTGCCTTGGGTTCCTGTTGGCTTCCCTAAATGAGGGACTGAACCTATCAGCCAAATAAACCATTTCCTCCCCCACTTGCTTTTGATTGGTGTCTCATCCCAGCAACAGAAAACAAACTAATGCTCTGGACCTGGTGTAACAGAGTCTAATGAATCTCAAGAGCTAAACTAATAACTTGAACAACAGACTGAAGTAATACCTGATGTGACACTTTTACCCAATTAAGTCATCTCCTTTGCATAGCAGTAACACTTTATTTTACAAGCTGCACTGGCTAGTTTTATGCCCACATGACCCAAGCTAGAGTCACTGGAGAGGAGGGAGCCTCAATTGAGAAAATGCCTACATAAGACTGGGCTGTAGGCAAGTCTTTAGGGCATTTTCTTAATTAGTAATTGATGAGGAAGGGTCCAGCTCATTGTGGGTGGGGCAACCCCTGGGCAAGTGGTCCTGGGTTCTATAAGAAAGAAGGTTGAGTAAGCCATGAAGAACAAACCAGTAAGTAACACCTTTCCATGGCCTTTGCCTCAGGTCCTCCAGGTTCCTGCCCTGCTTGAGTTCATGCCCTGATTTCCTTCAGTGATGAACAGTGATTTGGAAGTGTAAGCCAAACACATCACTTCATCCCCAAGTTGCTTTTGGTTGTGGTGTTTCATCACAGTAATAGAAACCCTAAGTAGGACACAAGCTATTTAGTTTTTGACTGGTAGATAACTTACCCCCTCCCCCAAATTCACAAAAATGAAACTATGCCTTTGGAAGGTCTACCATTGCTCCAACTCTACCTGGAAGTCAGCAGATGCAAAAGGTTGATTTTTCTTTTAGAATTCTAGAAGTATCCTGAACAGACACTGTCGAGAAATCAGGGCAAGGACCGAGCACAGAAAACATGGAGACTCAGGCAGAAATAACTATTCCTTGATATAACCAGAATTTCTCCCTCCTGGATGACTAGCTCAGTGTCCCTAGGGAAATTGTGCTTTTCTCAATATGTCTGGGGTGACTGGTTGACTGGTCTGGGATTTGAGGGCAGAATTAGCCAATTAGGAGGTTAACGTATAATCGCAGGCACAAGGTGTGACCTTCGCCCATTTCTGTTTAACTGAATTAGCATTAGCGGGTTATAGATTTTTCTGCTCGCAACAATGCCGGCAAATTATTCTGAGCTCCAAGTCTGCATTCTGCAAATGTGCCACTTAGGATGTCAGCTTTATGATGGCTTGAGAAGGCTTCAAACCAGAGCCCAGTCTCCGGACACAGGGACACTTGCAGGCAGACCTGCACAAACACTGAGCTATGGTGTCCTCCCTCCTCCTCTGATTTGAGAAAGATGATGTCAGGCAGGGTGGTGACTTCTCCACCCTTAGTTCCTCTGAAGTGGCTCAGCCTGGCCACACCATCAACCTCCTGAGATTGATTCTTGCTCCTATTCCTTGGGGTTCAGTGCTTCCCAGAAGGCTGGCATTCACAGTAGAGCCACCCCCACCCCCACCCCCGCTCCTCAGCGGCCAACCTTTTGTATATTGTTTGGAGTTTGCGGGCAGAGAAGAAAATGTGCTTTCTACACTGCTGATGTGTCCTGGTTAAGAATACAACATCTGGTTTCAGACTTCGGTTTCTTTAAGAGCAAGTGCTGAATCAAAGTTTTGAGTGCAAATCTTTGGAGGGCTGGATTCAGATAAAGATGGATAGGGGTGGGGAAATCAGCCAAGGATAGAAGGTGACTAGTGAAACCTGAATTATCAAGCCAGACACCCACCACGGTGCACAGCTGGAGTGTGATCCCAGGTGGAAACCCGCAGGCCAATCATACACCCTCCAGCCATCTTGAAGGACAGGGGGCTGGGTTGTGTAAACTAAATCCCCTCCTCCACCATCACCAGAAGGCTGCCCCTGGGGATGTTACATGTCTAAGGATTCAGTGATGAAAATTTCAGCTCAGATTAGAGAAGCCTTTTATACTTTTTGGAGAGCTAGCTTAGAAAATTAAAACAAAGCAGTCTCTATAGCAGTGATTCTCAACCTTCCTAATGCTGGCTGAGACCCTTTAACACAGTTCCTCATGTTGTGGTGACCCCCTCCCAACCATAAAATTATTTTTGTTGCTACTTCATAACTGTAATTTTGTTGCTGCTATGAATCATAATGGAAATATCTGATATGCGACCTCCAAAGAGGTCTATATAGTCTGTAGCCTAGAGAGAAGGTCTGAGGGTCGGAAATGAAAAAGGCTCTTTCCAGGAGACAGGTCAGAGGACAGTTAAACTTGGATTCAGATTCTGACTCCACCCATGTATGTGTAGATCTTGGGCATAGTTAATTTTCTTCCTAGAAGTTCAGGTCTTTTGCAAAATATACCTGTCTGTGCATCATGAGGCTGCCGGGGAGACTATCCCAGATTATGTTCAGAGTGAGCTTAGCTCAGGACTTGCTGTGTGATAAGGGCTCAAACATCTTGGCTTTGCTTTTGAAGCCTCAGAAGCAGGCCTGTGTGAGTATGTGATGTAGATGCTGGGTGTACACAGGTGAGCCCCAGGGCAGGCCTCTCTCCCTGGAGATGGTAGTCTCTGCTTATAGATCTTAAGTCTGTTTTTATCTAAGTTAGACCTTGCCCCAGAGGGCATCATATACTTTCATATCCCAAAGCATGTAAGTGATTTCTGGGGAGTTATGAACAATTGTCTATTAACCCCACATGGATCACTCACAGATTCCACCCAAGTCTGGCTTGATGAGCCAGTGAGAATAATTGGGGCTACTTAGAGGAGCATGTGGCACCCAAAGATATCCTCGCCCTTTTTTTTTTTTTTCTGAGACAGGGTTTCTCTGTGTAATTTTGGTGCCTGTCCTGGACCTCGCTCTGTAGACCAGGCTGGACTCGAACTCACGGAGATCTACCTAGCTCTGCCTCCCGAGTGCTGAGATTAAAGGTGTACGCCACCACCTGGCCTGGTCCTCACCCTTCTTAGCAAAGGTTAACACTTACATATCCTCTTGGGTGAGAGACTTCATGTACCTTGTGAGCCTCCTAGCATGTCACTTTATGAGCCAAGCACCTCTGCCCGCTCCCCACCCATATATGAGAATGCTGGTGGGCCCAATCTTATAAGTGTCTCCTAGGGGTAATCATTGTAGCTGCTCTGTTTTCAAACCAGCAATGGCCATGCCCTGCTTGGAGGAAAGTGCTTTACAACGGTATAGCCCAGGTTTTATTTTTGTTTGTTTTGAATGACAGATGATGAGAAGACATCCCTAGGACAAAAGTGAGGCCTTGGAGAGAATTGCACATTTTATATTTTCAGGAAGCCAATTTTGCAAAACTGAAAAGAAACCGGTGAAATTAATTACAACAGCCGCTTTTCTTTTCCACCATATATAAAATGTTATCGTTTCAATGCACAATTACTATAAAATTATTTTTGATGGTTTAGATTCTATCTGTGGCTTGATAGAAACGAGTTGGGGAGGGAAGGGTTTATCTGTCTTCCATATCTGGGTCGTGGTCCATCATCGAGAGAGCCAAGGCAAGAAGTCAAGCAGAAGCAGGGGAGATGATACTGCTTACTGGCTTGCTCCTCCCAGCTTGCTGAGTCAGGATCACCTGCCTAGGGGTGACACCACCCAAAGTGGGCTGGACCCTCCCACTTCCATCATCAATCAAGACAGTGTCTCACAGCCCACTATGGGTGGTGCCACCCCTACCAGGGTGACTCTGGTTTGTGTCCAGTTGACAATATTATACCCAACAATGCCTCAGTGTGGGGTCAGCCACACTGCTGGTGAGTGGTGGCCACCTGTGGCTCATCGCCATCATGGTAGACCAGGGTGAAGGTCCAACAGACCTTGCAGTACTTCTAGAAGTAACTCCAGAGGGAAAGTTCTGTTTTCTTTTTCCTCCTTTTTGGAGATGACATCGTTCCTTTGCATGTATGAACATGAAGCTGGTTTTAACTCAGGCGTCACCAGAAAATGACATTTTTTGTATTGAAATTTCACACATGGCGACCATAGTGTGATTCTTAGCAGGTGTAAAACTCTTACGACATTATTTCTTTAACTTCAACTTAATGGAAGTCGCAGCACCTGTTCCTAGTTTTGCATCTTCCAAAAAAATCTCATTGCCAAAAATGAGCTGTTGGCAGCCCTGAGAGGTGCATCAACTTACCTCTTCGTTTGGGGAAATGAAACTGAAACCTCAGCTCATTTCCAAAAGTTGCAGATTTTGTTAAAAGGAAGAGAAAGTTAGCAGGGCAAACATGTTGGCTGCTGTTGAAATATTGATTGCTTCCTTTCCTCAGGTGTTCCTTGTAACAGCTGCAGACGATTTGGACTGCACTCCTGGATTCCAGCAGAAGGTGATACACATCCAGCAGCCTGCTGAATTCATCGAGGACCAGCCTGTTCTAAACTGTAAGCCATCCCAAGATGCTCCGGGGCCACTCATGTGGACTTCCCTGCTGTTTGAACATATCTCAGGGTGTGGGATTTCCTCATGTTTTCTGGTCACATTTCTTACGTCACTGCTTGGTCCTGGGTGGATTGTTTCAATCAAATGACAGACTTTCCAGCTTGTGGATTAATACAGGGCGTGTATCTCTTCTTGGTATTTTGTCTCCAATGAGCCCACCTGCCCCACACCCAGAAGGGGGGACTGCCAGCCTCCAGGGTAACTCTGTGCTGTGTGGAGAGAATGAATTCTATTTTCACAGGGCAGACCCAAGAGTAAAATCATTGCCTTCTTATAGATTGCTGCTCTACCTGGCTTTTCTCACATGCGGCATTAGATCAAAATAATGTTGAGGGCAGGATATTGGCGGCTGGGAATTTGTAGACATAGGAATCAAAAACTCTTGTTCTCAAAGCCGATAAGATGATCTTGAAAAAGATTCAAATCTTTTTGGCTGCTTCTGTGGATTAAAGTCAAATTCCCTCAATTCCAATTGATTTCCTGAAAATGTGCGTCTCTCCGATCTGGTTACAATCCTGCACTGTACTTAACACCAATATTATCTCACTTTACCTTTAAGAGAACAAAAGCCTGGAGACAAATGCCTAGTGAATGCCGTTTTTAAACACTAGAGTTTGAAATTGATGGTAGAGCTAACCAATTAATTATAGACTTTTGAGCGCCATTCTTTGAACATTTTTAAAGATTTATTTTATTTTTAATCATGTGGCTGTATTTGTGTATGTGTGTGCACATGAGTGCAGCTGCCTGAAAAGGCCAGAAGAAGGCATTGGATCTCCTGGAATGGAGGCACATATGGTTGTGAGCCGCCCTATGTGGATGTTGGGGACTGAACTCTGGTCCTCTGCAAGAGAGGTAGGTGCTCTTTACTGCTGAACCATCTCTCCAGACCCCCATTCTTTGATATTTGAGGATAATAGATATGCAAGCAGTGACCTAATTTGGTCAGATGCTCAAAGGCACCTGTAAATAGGGTGACTGCATATGTGTTTGCTCTTACAGACTTAGGGTAGCCTTTTGTGCCAGCCCCATTTCTGTGGGACATGGATGATGTGTGCATCAAATAGCTTGACTGATCAGAATATTCTAGGAGGCTGGTACCTGTTATAAGGGTTTAAAGGAACATAGCCATGATGCTGGGATATTGAACGTCAGGGTCTCCAAGGCTGGGAACACCCTGGCAAAATGAGACCATGACAATTAGAGTCTAGTGACAAGGTACAAGACCAGCACAAGAAGTGAGTCCCAAGATACAACTTCCTAGTAACCGTGTTTCCGAGTGTGACTCCGGGGTCAGGCCATCGGGAACAATCATTTGCCCTTTGATCTCTGCACTGATATGAATCAATATATTTCGAGTAGAACTTGCTTGATGACAAACATTCTGACCTTCCTCTTCCCTCATTTCTGTGTCTGTCTGTCCATCTGCCCGTCTCTGTCTCTTGCTTTCCTTTTTTTTTTTTCTGTTTGTTTGCTTGTTCCAAGTGATTATCCCAAATGGCATCACTGTTAACATGTTGGGAAATGCAAAGCCACCCTCAGTATGGAAATTAATAGCACTGGTATGCAAAGCAGGCCCATAAATGTGATTGCTTCTATAATCTTCATGACATCAAACAGCTTCCAATTCACCACCAAGGAGCTAGGAACAATCATAGTTTAGGAGACTTTTTAATTTAAATTGTACCATACTGTACATTCCAATATCAGAGGTGTGTGTGTGCGAGTGTGTGTGTGTGTGGTCTTAACCCCCTAAGTAATTAACTTGGTTATGGCCATTGCTCCTGTGTAAGCTCCTAAATGCTAAATGAGAGCAGGCTTATTATCTATGACAACACACTCAGGGAAACCCAGTGATATGGGAATCAATCACAGTTTAAAATGTTGTGTTTGTGCGTGAGATGTTGGGTCAGCAAACTTTGATTAGCCCCTCTAGTGAAATTGCTTGTCCATATCTGTCACTAAGACAAAATACAAGGAGCAAATACAAGGAGGCAAAATACAAGCGCTGGCTAGGTGCTTGTAAGAACCTCCCAAGGTGACAGGGAATGGAGTCTATTCTGAGTAGTCTGTGGATGAGGTTAACTGTGTCTAGCTGGGGAGGAAAGCTTGTGGAGACTGGAGAGTGCCTGTTGAAAATTGTTTCAAACAACCAGAGTATTCAAGAGGAGAAATGCCCAATCTATTCCACCCATAATGAGAAAGTCAAAGCCTTTAGTATAAAATGGACAGTTCCAGTACTTTTCAGGCACTTCCACCCCAACTCTCTCTTCTTACTCATCAGTTTTTTTTTTTTCTGTGCAATTTTATTTTTTTTTTTTATTTTTTTTGTTTTTGTTTTTCGAGACAGGGTTTCTCTATGTAGCTTTGGAGCCTATCCTGGAACTCATCTGTAGCCCAGGCTGTCCTTGAACTCACAGAGATCCACCTGCCTCTGCCTCCTGAGTGCTGGGATTAAAGGCGTGCACCACCACCCGGCTCTGTGCAATTTTAAAGATTTGTTTTTAACTAATTGTGTGTGTGTGCCTGTGTGGGGCTATGTCCACCAGAGTGGCAGTGCCTACTGAGGCCAGAAAAGGTTACCAGATTCTCTGGAGCAGTGTTTCTCAGCCTTTCTAATGCTGCAGCCCTTTAATACAGTCTCTCATGTTGTGGAGGACCCCCCCCCAACCATAAAATTATTTTTGTTGTTACTTCATGACTGTAATTTTGCTACTGTTATGAATTGTCATATAAAGATCTGTGTTTTCAGATGGTCTTAGGTGACCCCTATGAAAAGATTGTTCGAACCACTAAAGAGGTCATGACTCATAGTTTGAAAACCACTCTGGAGGGAGAACCTCTTATGAGCCACCTGACATGGGTGCTCGGAACCAAACTCAGGTCCTCTGGGGGAGCAGGATATGCTCTTAACCCCCAAACCATCTCTCCAACAACCCCTTCTATGCATCTTAAAAGATTCAGCACAGACCCTTCTGTCTTGGAAAAAGTGTAAAGAACCAACTTTGAGAGGTTTACGTGCTGATGTGAACTAACACCTGGATGATAAATGGAAAAAACTCAAACAGAGCCAGAAAGTTAAAAACAAAAAAAGCTTGGCTATTTGAATTTACATATTATAGATAAATGGAATGATTTACGATGTTTCGGTAATATAGAAATAAAAGCTGATGTTGTCTGGGTGCTGGAGGTTAAGAAGAAGTAGGTGAGTGACATGATCCTGGGCCTGCTCATGATGTATGCACTTTGTATGCTTTCTTTCTTTGTAATAGTTAAGAAATTTGGTTACAGGCCAGCATGATTACTGAGTAGGTAAAGACACCTGTTGCCAAGGCTGAGGACCTTGGATCAGTGCCCAAGATCCATGAAGTGGAAGGAGAGAGCTAATTCCTATAAGTTGTCCTCTGACTTCCGGACATGTGCTGTGCCATGTACATATACACGAGCGCGCGCGCGCGCGCGCGCGCGCGCACACACACACACACACACAGAGAGAGAGAGAGAGAGGGGGGGGGTGAGGAACAGATAAAAATGTTTTAAAAATTAAAGAAGTTTGGTTGCAAGTCCTTGCGAATTTTTATGTTACCAAGGCAGAGTTACAGCATAATCAATTAATCGACTGCACACTGTAGTGTTTTACAAAGTCACCTGAAGTGTTGGCCCTTTACCTGATGGATAGAGCACCTCTGCTCATATCTGGGGTTTGCATTCAACCACTTCTGTGTTCCACTTTCTGGGGTTCTGGGGGGTGTTTATTCTGTTCCAGGATTCCTGCTTTCTTTGTTCTGACAGTACTATTTCCTTTTATCCTTTTTCATCTTTTTCCTTGCTTCCTGGTGACTTGCCTTTTCCTGCTTTAACCATTACTAATGGTCACCTCACTCCTTTTATTTCCCTAATATTTTATTCACTGTTCACTCCAGTACATCTTCCCTTCAGTTGTTCTAAAGCCTTTTATTTCCTTCACATCCAAATAACTCTTTATTCTACTCCCCTCACTGCTAACTAGACTTGCTTTCTTCTTTAAAGGGCCATTTTTCAACAAGCTGCTGGGATCAAAACATGGCATCCCACTCTCTCTTCTAATGTACCCAGCGGTATTCTTTTACTGGATCTTTCTGAGTACAATGCAAAGCCCCCGAGCTCATCATAACTTGGCCAAAACTTTTTTGGTTTCATCTAAGTCTTGAAAGGCGAACTGGGAAGGGGAATTATTTCCAGTGTCCATGAGAAGTACAAGGAAAGGGGGAAATACAATTAGAAGGCAGCACCCTGGGGTGGCTACCTAGGTACCTAACCAGAATGGGAAACACCAAGTTACCAAGTGCAACATCCTGCCTCATTCACGCCAGCTCAAACTAACCTTCCCAACACCACAGGGATCTGTGGTTATTGAGTTCCCTAGGGGATACCATGTTTGTGATTACCCCAGCCTCTGCTGGTAGGAGTGTTCAGCATCTACGGTCCAGAATGGACATCCCATTGGTCACCCGGACATTACCAGGACTGTATTCGTCTTCATAGTTTCATCCTCTACTGCTTATACCCCCTAATATGTATACACACAAACCAAACACAAAGCTGCACAGAGTGATTACCACAGTGAAGTGTAGTCGTACAATTAGTCTGACTCTCCTTCTAGTATGACAGACAGACTGGAGGTCAAGAAAGAGTGTAGGAGAGTATGATACCCAAGATTTCTAACTATCTCAGATTGAAAGTAATGTGGGCCATCATACTCTGATCCATCAGCAGACTTGGAGCAAGGGAGGCTAGTAGCCTTCACTATGCAGATGCTAACAAGATGGCATTATTGCATTAAGACAAAATAAAACTCCTGACAAAAGGGACCACAGAGGAAGCAACTTTCTCAGGGGAAACCAGAGACCCTGGAGAAGATTTGGTCCACTTGAGAATGAAAGCAAGGGCGTGTACCTGTTGT